TTTTAATATACAGTCAGCTCCTTGCAACTTTTACTCCCTGTATCTGCAAGCACTTGCTGTCAAATGATCTTGAAAATCATTTCCTTCCACATCTTCAGCCCATCCCAGAAGACCCACATTTGCCAGAAGGAAATCAGCTGGTAAGTGGGATTTTAGGCTGGACAATTATGGGGTGTATTTACCTGCCCGCAGGTAAATGCCGTAGCCATGCAGCCACTTCTGCAGCTGACATTCATAGCACTCATTCCATGAGTATAACCCTCCTCAGGAGAAAACCCTGCTTAACTCTATTAATAGTGTGCACGTGTGCGCTCTCCGTGTCTGTAGCTGCTCAAGGGCTACAAAGAATGTGGCGTGTTGGCAGCGGAGAGTTCGAGCCAAGGAGGTCGCAAATGTCTGGTGTCCCACAGGAAAGCAAGAAAGGCTTCTCAGTCAAGTCCCCAAAGCGATGTTTTACTGCATAGTCTCACCAACAAGGGCAGTCGAGAGGGCTGGTCAATGAAATAGTTAATCGAGCAATAGCTCTGCAGAAGCTGTTGATGGAGAAGACGGCAGCAGCTCAACCCATCTATCCTCATGTGTCTCCCACTGCTATCAGATATCGCCTCCCGTAAGCTCGTGCTCAGAGCAAGGAGATGAAAATTGCTATTGACAGAACTACCCCGCAGACAAGGTCCTCTGCTGCAAAGCTGCTAGCGTCTTGTGTGGTGGAAACCTATTTTAAATGACAACGAAACACTAATGTTATGGAAAGATCTTGTTTTATATAGTTTTCAGGATTAGGGGGGAGGAGAAAACAGAAGTACAGCCTGTCTGGACAAATATTGCCAGACAAGTGCTCTATATTCCAGTGCTGATTTGTGCAAACACTTCCAGGGCATCAGGGAATGTTGTCATTGATAAATACTGACCACGGGAAATGGCTTCTTCAAAGACATGGCTGCTGGTGTGGCCAACAACGTCATCGTGTAATGCATGGCATAAACAAAGTTCATAAGCATTTGCATCCTACAGCATTAACCATCGCTCTCAGTCATCAAAAAATAAAACCCTAGTGAATAATTCTGCAGTGGTACAGACAGGATTATTAAAGGATTATTTGAGAAAAAGCAAGGAGAAGGTAATATGTCATCAGAATTTGGGTTCACTGCTTTGTTTTACTGTTGAAAACTCTATGTACTTTGAGATCTCAAACCCCAAAACAAAGCTTAATCTTCACTTAGGAAATACAATTCCCTCCCTTATCACATTATCAGAGTACATCACACTCTAATTATTGTTATCTGAACAACACTTAGTGAGATTGGGAAGTACTAACCTTGTCGGAGAAGCCCTTGAATACAGAGTAAAACGAAGTCAGAAACAATTTTTAGTCTTTAAATGCCAGCTAAGTACACCGCAACCAGTGGAAAAAAAAAAATGTTCTTGCACCATCAGCAACACTTAAGAAAATTTGCCTCTTCATTATCATTAACCCAAATTCTGAAGTCCTGGCCCAAAATTCAGAACAAAGTTATTATTATGAGGAAAAAATGCATTATATATTTGTATTTCTAAAAGTATCATTTAAAACATATCAGTAATCATTCAAAGAAAGGAGTAATACTTACAGTGTCTCAGTGGGATATTATATCTTACTCTCAAGAGGTATCCAGAAGTGCTTCTCAATATTTTAGTATCTGTTAGGCAGTGATTGCAGTTTATTTATCTCTCTCTAGTGGGTACAGCAGTAGAAGTTAAATATTCCATCTTCCTCTCCAAAGGATATAAGGGACTGTCTCCCCATACTCAAGCAAAGAAGAAAATCTCTCTTCCATGTCACATCCTGGTGTGGGAAACAGTCCATGTGTGCCTTTACTGAGCATGGACCAGGGGCCACCTTCGTCTACACATTTCTTCAAGGAATCCTCTGTGAAGCCTTTGAGAAGAGCTTCAAGGAGTACAGCCCTTGTGCAGATGCTGCAGAATGGTTGTTTCTGAATTTAATGGAGGTGTTTCCTTTTCTGCCACCTCTTCTATTTCATGGCTTTTATTCTTTTGCATTGCTATACATGCAACACAGAGACCTGGGTATTTCATCAAATCTCAGTGTTGCTTTGTTTTTATTTTTTGTGTTTTAAGTACAAGTCAGACTCTGCTGTTCTGCTTTTAAAGCTGGCCACTGCTTCAATAGCTTCCACCCAGCTCGTTTTAATTTTTCCCATATCTGAGTTTCAAAGTCCATCATTATGAAAAAAGGGTATTGTTACATTTCCTAGCAAGACTTTGGTTCTGATACTTTGTGGATTAAAAGAGCCCTCAATACCCTGTAGAGCAACAGAGTTCTTGATAGCAACTTCAAGCCTCACTGAGAGTTTAATGAGCTGCTGCTGAGTTATATGACACCTGTTAAGTTTATGGAAAAAATTTATCCGGTCTGCTGCTGTTATTAGCTATCAAATACCATAGACACTAGAGAGTACCCCAAACCAATATCTGTGATCTGAACTACAGCAAAAATACTGGGAAGAATGTTTTGGATACCCAGGCTTTGATACAGGTCCAAATTTCACAGTCACTTGCTATGTCTATAAAATTTGGCTAGAGTGACCAATCTCAGTATTCCTAAAAACTGGAAATAGAAAGGAACTCTCAAGCTCATCTAGAATTTTCTGTTTGGGGCTAATTATCCTCTTTTTTCACCTCTGCTAGAATTGCTAATAATCTTTCATGTGAAAGGCTCCAGACACAAGCTCCGCAAAATGAAGGTCTCCAACCATAAAAGAGGAAAAGCCCAGACGCTGCTAATACCAACCCACCCTGTCCTGCTGATGCGTTGCAGTCCTGCAGTGGGATGGCTTCATGGCCTCCCTGGAAGAGAAAGTTCTGCTGAGGGACCCATTTCATTCGGAAGTTTAATAACATAAGGCCATTTTACAGAGGCCAAAACCCTCCATCAATCCATCAGTGCTGCAAACACAAGAGGCTCGGGGAACAATTCAGTCTTGCAGATTTCTTGTCTCTTAAGTGAGTTTCTGGAAGAGGAACATTTATTTGGGCTGTTGCCCATGGCCATGCTCTGTGAACGTGCGAGTTCACAAAGCAGCCTTCGGTGGGTAGAGCTCTGTCCTTCATGCGTCTGCCTGTTTGCACAGAAGTTGTGGGAGCTCAGTTACCTGTGATACTGCTGCTTTTGTATCAGCTCTGGATAAATTCAACCAATGTACCTTAAAAGTTATTGGAGAAGTACATACAGACTGAGAGATGGCCTCACCTATACACACACAAGAACAGAGCCATTGAAAAGCCTGTTTCCGTAGGAAATTAGGGTGAGAAGATTATTTAGATATTTTCCTTAATGAGTAGGAGAGGATAAAAATCATAGCTTGAATGTATTTCCTCTAAATTGGCACACCATAATGAAGAGACTCAAAGAAATGACCATCCAGCCTCAGAGGCCCTGTTATGCTGGGAGTGATTTAGTTTCATTGTGTCAACTGCCATAAAAATAGGCACTGGGATCTTTAAAATCTGATTTTTGGGTTGCCTTGCTGGAGAGCCATCAGGAGCAACAAAACGGCTGATGGCAAACAGAGGCGTGCATGGGCAAACGTGCTTCGCCGGAGCCGTCCCAGCTGAAGTGCTCTCCTCCGCCTGGCAGACGGGACAGGTGTGTCACTTCCAGATGTGACGTGAGCCACTTGCTTCTTGTTCACAGCCTTTGAAGTGCTGTGCAGAGAAAGCCTGAGCCATTACCGCAATTGGAGTAGATACATCATTTACTGGAAGAATTAACTGCACTGTAGTAGCAAACCTGCAGTTGACACTCACAGAGTGCAATTGAAATCCTCCGGATTAGTAATTCTTTTGAGATCTTTGTAATCATTGGTAATAGGTAGTGAAATAAATCCACATTTATATCCTACAGACTGCAGCTGTGCTTCTGTTAAAGTAGTATTAAGTGATGGTTTGTAAATCCTTCTGCCAGCTCAAGCTGTAAGCACTGAAACTCCTGTGCAGAGGATAACTCATCCTGCATGATGTATGTTCCCGAGCACGAAAGCTCTGGTTAATGAATAATGAAAGCACCAAGGCAGAATCGCACCTCGGGGCTTCGCTCCGGCAGCGAGCTCTCTGGGGAGAGGTGCCCGTGCAGCTCCCCGTGCAACTGCAGCCTCAGCTACCCGGCTGCAGCTGGGACCGCGCGTGGCTATGGGTAACCGGGATCGAAAATAACACAAAATACTAATGTAAAGCTTTACCCAGATGGACAAAGTGCTGAACCTCATCTTGTTCAGTCGAGCGCGGGGTTCATCCGGCCAACGCTGGCGTCGTTCTTTCAGGTATCAGGAGTGCACACTCGTGCCCTGACTTACTGCACAGGCTCCCGGTTAACTAAACAAATATGCCATTAAAAGCTGAACCAACCTTGAGGGGGATATAGGGGTTTATATTGCAGCAGGAGGAGATTTATGGATGTGTTTCCCAAGCGTAGAGAATAATGGAAGAGGCCTCAGACAGGTCAGCATTTCCCAGCTGTGATAAGGGAAGCCAGCACTTCACTGGGGACGAGACTGGAGGGGTGATGGGTGCCAGATTGGCACCCAGCTTTGCTGTGGAGCCCCAGCCATGGAGCAGGGACCCAGAGTGACAGTCACTCTAGGAACAAAAAGAAGCTTTGCAAACTTAGTCTGCTTGTAAGATAAGCACGGCGCTGATAAAGTAAAGCACAGAGGGATTAAAAAACTCAAGAGAACACTGTTAGTGGCAGGCTGAAGAAAAGAGCCCAGGCATCCTGGCTCTCCCTTCCTTCAGATAGGCTTCAGCCCAATCTGCCCAAAATTCGTGACCTTAGAGATGGTTTCTTGATAGCATTAAAAAAAAAAAAAAATCAGTGACCAACCCTACAGGAGAATCATTTACTTACACAGCTTGGGAGGAAAAGGAAATAAAGCAGAGCTGGCAGAAGCATTTACCTGGTTCTATTCCTTATATTTTATGTTTGCTTTGTTTTCATTTAGGAATCTACAAAGGACATTGCTTCCGTATCAACCACTTCCCTGAAGACAATGACTATGACCATGACAGCTCAGAATACCTTCTCCGTAAGTGAAAAGTAATACCCAGTACACAGAATTAACAGGCACGGCCAGAGAGAGAGACTTCCCTGGGTTTCTCTTCTGGAGAGTCCAACTCAAGTCCTGTTCATTGCAAGAGACTGGCCCAAACCTTCTGGCACAGAGCAGTGGTGATGTTGGCCCAGTTCATGCTGCAGCTGACACAGCCGTGACCCTCGGGGACCCCCGTCTCAAGGGTTTCCTTCACCCAGGGGAACGCACACGATTGTGGTGCCCATTCTCTAAACATTATATGGAAATTTTTCAAATGAAAAATACAGCTATTGTTCCCAGATTGGCGAGGGTATTTTACAGAGGGAGTATATATCCAATCAGTGCAGCAAAACAGGTTTGAGGAGTGGGTTCCAGCCCATTAGGAAGCTTTTCCTAATGCTTAAACCCTATGCATGCCTCATCCTTTGCAGCTGCAGAGCCACCTCCCCCTGCAGTGAAATTACGGCATTGTAGGAAGGAAGCTGAAATTTCTGCAGCTAACAGCAAAACCTCAGCGTGAACATGGGCTGTGTCTCCCCTGCATGGACACCAGCCATTGCTGCTCCGTGCTGGTGTGTAATACCCCACAGAAATAATTTCATCCACCAACCTGGAGCTTGAGATAAGGGCAATTGTTTCATCTCCTCCGGATGAGCATTCGCTCAGCTGATGGTCTTGGAACCCGGGTGTGAAACTTCATGAATCCTGCAAAGCTGGAGTTAGATTTCCCCTTCCCCAGAGGCCACCTTGCCTAGTTGTTCCTTCTGAACAGAAGAGCTGACCAGCCGAGCTGAAAGCAATGGCCTTTACCAGGGAAAGGAACTGCAGTTCAGAAGGTGCTGGCAAAGCTTCAGGGAGCAATGAATGATGCTGCTGCCTGATACACCCGGCATGGCAAAACACTCCTCAATTACACTGCTATTAATTACCTGAAACACCACTTAGAGAACCACTCTGCCCTTCTGCTCGCCCATGGGAAACAACTTCTGGTTGCTAAGACAAGAAGAACAAAATAAAAATCTCTGAAAAGTACACTTTACCAGAAAACACAATTATTTTTTATTTTTGTCTTTACTCTTGTCAATTTAGATCAGTCATAGCGCTTGGGTGACGTGACTTCGGTGCTCAGGCAAAGGCAGACTAGCAGTGTGAGCACGGCTGCATTTATCTTTCATACAAAGCTTTGGAACTAATGCTAAATTGATGCAAAGTCGGCTTTAGGAGAGAAACATCATTAGTAAAAGGACTGTAAAGGAAAGAAGAATTAAGTAGCATCTTGATAAAAGTGTATTATGCCTTCGTTATTTGGAGAAAAGATAGAACTGGGGAAAACAGTCTGCAGCTCCTCAGTAAGATATGACATTGGTAAATTGTTTGTAAGTGTACTTGCAATGGGTGTTCCTAAAAGCTGTTTTCCATAGTGACTAAGTACAGACCTTAAAAACAAGTTAGTCCAACCCTTTATGTCTTCTGCAAACACAGGCTTCAGCTGCTCCCCCCGCAGAGGAGCGCTCGTCCTCGCGTAGTCTGCACAGATAACAGGACCCCTCTGCTTTAGCTTTTACAAGACAAAGTGCAGCTCCACTTAAAATGCGTATGGTTGATTTAGAGATTACTGAAAGGTTACGTATCTAAATCCAGAAGAGATGAGCTCATACGTATATGTAATAGGGACCAAATCATTGTCTAACTAGACACAGACAAGATGATATTTGCATCCTGTTTCAAAGGAGATGGGAGAGCTTCCATCCCATTTTTGCCCTCTGTGCAACACCTTTGCAACCTGCTGTCTCTGTTGTATCATTCACTGTGCTTTGTAGCCATTTCTTGGCACAAAGTCTCCTGGAGGGCCATGTTAGGGGTAACCCTTATTGCTCCGGTACGGCTTAGATGTAGGCACCAACGCTGTGTGCATTTTGTGTTCCTGACAGAGCACATGAGGGGTCTCAGCCTGCTCCACAGTGACCAATCTAATATAGAACCATGGAATGATTAGAGATGGAAGGGACCTTAAAGGTCCCTACCATGGGCAGGGACACCTCCCCCCAGCCCAGGTTGCTCCAAGCCCCGTCCAACCTGGCCTTGAACACCTCCAGGGATGGGGCAGCCACAGCTTCTCGGGGCAACCTGCCCCAGGGGCTCACCACCCCCACAGGGAAACATTTCTTCCTCATATCTCATCTAAATCTCCCCTCTTCCAGTTTAAAACCGTTCCCCCTCATCCTATCGCTCCACTCCCTGATCAGGAGTCCCTCCCCAGCTCTCCTGGAGCCCCTTTATAGGCTTCAGATAAATGTAGACATTACGCTGCTAGCAGAATTGTGCCTTGGCTCAAAACCCTGCTGAAATCAGTGAAAGAATGACTGATTTTAGGAGACTTTAGTCCAGGGTGTGGGTAGAAGCAGGAGTTTGGATTTTGCCCTTGGGCATTCAGGCTGCTCCCTGCAAAACCAAGCGAACACAGCAACAATGACAACTGACACGTGCAAAGGAGCTCAAACAAGACCCCTCCTATTCAACCTTCCCTGTGACAACACACGCCAATCTGTCTAAAAAAGAAAAAAAATCCCCTTCACATCTCCATGCAGAGCTCCAGCAAGCGGCAGAGGCATCGCTGCCGTGCACAGAAAGCCCCTGCAGTCCCCGGGGCTGCTGGGTTGTTATGGTTTGAAGAAGCCACGGCATTATTGTTGTTTAGACAATGATTCTATCACACAATGACCCCTCCCCACCCGGGAAGGGCAATTGGGAAAAAATGAGGAAACCCAAGGGTTGAAATACAGACAGATTTAATATAATAATACTAAATAATTAATATTAATAACACTAAAGAACCAATATTGATCCCAATACCAATATAAAATATACGAGGATTGTACTCAGCCCATTCTATCCGTAGGAAGCTGTGCACCCCCAGCAGGGGACAGCAAATGTCGGATGCTGCGGGCGCTGAGGCTTTGCGGGGAAGGGAAGGGCTCAGAGGTCCAGCACCGGGCCAAGGACTTTCCAGGGTCACTACGATCATGGAAGAGAGAAAACTCCTCAGCAGACTTTCTAATTTATATGGAATGTGATGTTGATGGTATGAACTAACCCTGTTGGGCAGCTTGGGTCAAGGGCCCAGGTCTCGCTCATCCTCATCCCCACACCTGGTGAGCTCAAAACCACTAAGACCTTGAAACATGCATCCCATAGCTGGCTATAAAGTAAATATTTTCACAAATTCAGACACTAGAGTCTTCTAAAAATGCAGGTTTCCCCAGCATTAGAAGAGAACTTACTGAAAAGTAAAATTACCGAAAGAGAAATTAATCCTGTGTCCCTCAAACCAGGACCTGCGTGCATCACCCAACTGCGCACGCATGCTCCGGCTTCCCTCCGCTCCTGCATTGCTGCAAGAACCCAGCAACCAACCCAGCACCACAGGAACCACATGCACCTCTCCCCCTGCAGAAGAGGGGATTCTGGCCGTGCTCCTCCTCACAGCGCGTGTGAGGACAGCGGAGCTCTGCCGCTGCGATGCAAAAGTGCAGCCGTGAGGAGGGGGACCGGGGACCCTGTTTCAGGGGCACATCTACGCTTCCATGTGCTTCTTCCCTGCGTGCTATAGCATCCGTGCTGTATGTCCATGCCCATGCATAGCATCCCCCTTTTAAAGCCGGTTGCTTGGCTCCTGCCTTTCGGAGGAGAATAAAAGCGCGAGCAGAGCACCGGGGCTCGCAGCACGGCACGCTGCAGCGCTTCACCGAAGGAGGTGTCACAACACATAGCGGTCCAGAGCAGCCGATGCGAACAGACAGGACGGTAAACAAGGCGGGGGGAAGAAAAAGCAGGAGAGAAAGCAAAACCCAGATTGCCTTAATGTTTTTTGATGTGCTGTCATTTTATTACCAGTATTGGGAGATATATGTAAATTCTACATGGTACCTATGAGCTTCCCTTTAAATTTCAGAGATAAAAGTACACATTGTAGGAAAAAATATACTGTAGGGTTTTACAGGAAGAGAACACTGCGTGTTTAGTTTCTCTTCACATTAATTACCTAATATAGAAAAAATATCTCTGGAGATTATTGCTACAAGTAGAACAACCCACCCCCTACATTTGGCATGTCTGGCAAGTTCCTTCTGACGATGTCACTGAAGCATTTTGGGAAAGCTCTTTGATTTAATTGAAATCATTATAAACAGCGTGACCATAAAATATAGAAAACAACAACCAGAAAGGGTGGGCCAAAGTAGATTTTAAGCCCGTGCTGACTTTTGCCAGGACACTACCAGACAGGCAGTGATTTGGCGTGCCTTCATCTCCAGTAGCACAGAGACTGACATTGAATCTTTTTCTAATAATTGACTCTAAAAACTGACCCAAAAGTCAAAGCACTTCATACCACACATGTGGGGGTACACCCAGGTCAACAGAATGGGCTCTCAGCACTCAACGGGCTTCGATTAGAAACCTTACACCCTCATTACTTGGATTTGCCAGTTATTGCAAGACACTGCCTGAATAGTAATGCATCCGACTGAATTGGGTTTAGAGCCGGTCAGAAAATGGCCCGTCTGTACTGGACGCGTGCAGCGACGTTGCCAGTTCTGGTAGGAGATGGACTTTTCTCGCTGTTGCAGATCGACAGGGACATGAGCTTCCCAGGCAGGGACTGTCTTTTTTGTTTTGTGTTTGCACCATCCCAACGAGGGCTGGGCCCGTATCGGAGGCTCCCGGGGGCTTCGCGGCACGCACAAAAGCAACGCTGTTATTAAATGCCCCGTCCTGTCCCTCTTGCAGTCAGTGGGAGTTTTGCCACCAGTTACCAGGGGAATCATTAGGCAGCAATTCACAAAATTGGGAACGCCACGGCCATCAAAAGTAAAATGAGAAAGCATCAGCTGTAACATCTGGCCGTTTCTCCTCGGGAAACGGGCGCCGCTCGCTGTACATGTCAGCTGGGAAGATGGCACCCGGGAGAGCCTCATCACTAACTGCACCGCATCAGCAGAGCCATCCAGATGGCAGTTTTCTCCTCTCCGTGCACTCAGCCCTGGGGGTCCCCATGTCTTCCCGGTGTGCTGTGGGGTTTCCACCCCTCTGTGACAGCCTCTGACCCCCACCTTGAGCATCCCTGTGCCCCGACACCCGCTCACCCTGCCGGGACGCCCCATGTGCCTTTGCCTTGCCACAGTCCCCAGCTTTGGGGCAATCCTGTTTTCCGCAGCAGTACTCAGCATCTTATCTCCCCTTCTTCAAAAAAAATCCTCTCTCTGTAGCGATATAATTCAGTTCCTCACTCTGCCTTTCAGGACTGCCT